GTCACGTTCTTATAGTAAACAGTCGTTGCTATGGCCGTTGCCACGTGAAAAAACTTATACCACTGTGTACTTTCCTTAAATTTCACACTCATCTGGAAGCAAATTCTGCAAGATCGTTTCAAAATGTTTTTGACATGTCCTCAAGGGTCTTGTCTTGTATTTCCAAGAAATTGAATTTTTCATGAACATCGCCATATTTTAGGGTACCATACCCCCTTAATGATGGGAAGCTCGATTTCAGGTATTTTTTTGTAAACAATCCAGCTAGTTACCCGAAATTTCAGTAAGTCCGCGAGCAGAGCAGGCGTGTATCAACCGTACCTTTATCCAAAATGGCTATGGGCAGTATTTATGGCAGCCGCAGTGGGAGAGCGCTCGCCTCCCACCAATGTGACCCGAAGTCAAATCACACAGAGTTGCTGTCGCTGTCAATTGGTTCTCGTCTTGTGTCGAGGATCTTTCTCCAGGTTCTCCGATTTTTCTCCCCTACAAAAGCCAACACTTCCAAATTCCAATTTGATCTGGAAAAAGTGAACGAAGAACCTCTCCGTGGGATGTGCCACTGCCAATTTGTTCATCAGTTTACTATTATTTAGAACGTACTTGTTCACTAATCGTAAACAGAACAATTCACAACCAGAATTGGGGCTGATTTAAAACAAAAAGAACAGATTGTTCTTGTTCTCTCCTTAGGGCGCCAGCCATACTACGCCAGAAAAAAATATTTTATTTCTACGCCTAGGAGCTCCCTCCACTCAAAACCGTCACGAAAACGGAGCTTTTCGAAAACGCTCTTCAAACCGGAGGAATTTGAAAACGCTGGCTTTGCGTTTTAGTCTGGACGGAAAACATTTTGAAAACGGAGCTTTTCGAAAATCATGAGGTCACGATAATCATTTGATTTCCCTGCCCGTGTTTTCCTCAAACGCAAACCCAAAATCACCGGTGATTGTTTCGTTTTCAACTGAATTTCTGAGACGTAGTGTGGACAGAAAACATTTCATGCGAGTTCGGGTTGAAAACGCTGTTTTCAAGTTTCCCCGGCGCGGTGTAGACGGGACCCTGGCGTGTACCTAAGATGCACTACTGTGCAAACATGCAAATATCAACATCACGACCGAAAACTACATGTGTTAAACACGTCAGTATCCATAGGCTCCAGGGAGATCTCTTAAGGTTAGGTTTATTTTAAGTGTTGTTTCTTAACTTTTAGTGGTGTTCGTTTTATAAACCCCTCGGTCAGTGGATACAGCTTATCATGAGTGTATCTAACCCTAACCTTAACAACTCTAGAAAAAAGACAATGAATTGGTCTTGCCATCAATATAAATACTACCACTTCAAAAGGATTTCAATATTTTTTTAATGTTTTAATAAACAGCAGTCGATTCCATGTTTGTCAAGGATTACACAGCCTTGGCACAAGTCTACCTGCCAGGTGCATTGTTTACAACATAATTGGACACGTGTAGATGACACTGCAGTGAAAGAACTTCACAGAACGTTTAAGAACACCATGAATAGAAGGTGACAGGAGCGCACACTTCTTTTGTTCAGAAAAATAGAGTTGAGCCAGTATCAGACAATCGAACATAATTAGCTTTCTAAACAAATAGGCCATAACCACGATAGCCACCATATTTGTCTTCACATAATGCAAATTTGGCAGGTGATTGCCAGTATTGTGGAAGAAGATATTTTGAGTTTTCGATAATTCCAGCCCTTAAAACTGAATAACAATTTTTTACGACTTCCGTTGTTTAAAACAAGCTGAAAATAGCAAGTAACCATTCCAAATTACTCGTGGGTGGAATGATCCATAATTTGGCCCTCAGGTATAACTTTGACAGTTCTTGTCCATTGATTGATCGGAGTCGATTCAAGTTGTCCGCCTTATGGCAGACCGCATGGCTAATTTGAATTATAATGAGAAAAACAGCCATTGAGGCTGGCATGAATGTGGAGTATCGCCTCGAGAAAACTATCAGCATCCAACAACTGGACAGGTGTTGAGTTGAGTGGTTAGCTGTTGGACTAAAAAAATCCTGATAGCTTGAAGAAATAATGGTAATTTGGACTGAAAAAATAAATGTTTCGACCTTGGTATTGACTTCATCGTCGAGAAACAATTCTAGTTAAAGTCTAATTAAATGGTAAGATGTACCATTTGATAATCTTGTTGAGGAGCCAATTATTTCGAGATCATATTTCTAAGAAAGCTTAGTTTTGGCAAGCCAAGGTTAACCCACATACGTGGAACACTCAATTCTTGAACGCCTCCTCCGTTTGCCTTGGAAACGTTTCATTCTAGAACTTTATGTTCGGGCGTTGACCTGTGTACATGTTGTGTTCTCGCGACCTTGGATTCTACCTTCCGGAGACAGGTCCAAGGTTTAGGTTTTGCCAAAGATTATTCCATTTTTTCTAGTTTTCAGTTGGTTAATCTCTGCTTGCCTTATCAAGTCAGCTGCGTTCGTTTCAGATTAACATCCGGCTACCTTGTTGTGTTCCACCTGATTTACCTCTGGCAAGAGTCTCGGGCGCAGAAAGAGTTGACATAAAAGTGGGTGCATTGTAAAGTTGCATTTAGTAGAAGTTGAAGAAGGAGTGGTAGTGGATTAAACTTTGAGACCTTAGTTCTCCTCTCAAGAGTTCCGATACCTCTCGTTGGTGAAAGGTTAGGCCTACAATATAACATGATGTCACAACCCGTTGTTACTCTACACCAATTTCAAGGGAACTGGAGCTCGTTCCTCGAAGGTCCCGAAATGTTTTCGCACCCAGAACTGAGGCCGTAGCAAAATCTCAAACCTTACGATTACAGAACTGTTTTATTTACACATTCTTAATATGAACAGAGGTTCTTTTCATGCAATACGTTTCAGGCTTATACTCCTCTCTGTTTTTAGATACAGATTAATTAAAAAATGGCTTTGCGGGCCCGATAAGTTTTCGGGGTTTGAAGGAAACGGGCCCTGGTGTGAGTCCAAAGAAACAAAGATGACAAAGTGCATCTCGTAAATTGGTTTACATAGATCTAAACACAAGAAAACCAGTGTCGATAAAAAGCATATGCAAAATAAGCCGGGGCGATAATAACCCGCCCCCAGGAATAATGCCAAAGTTTTACCTCACGAATTCAAACCGTTACATGTACATGTCATGTCAAAGTATTGTCATTAATAGGTCACGTTCCATATTTCAATATTCTAACATGGCTCCGAGGTTTTCGGGTCAAAATTGTAAATTTTTTAAGTTTCTTTTTTCTCTTAATTCCCAAAAGAGACTTGGATACAAAGAAAACAACACCAAAGATAGAATTTTCTCCTGAAAGCCACGGAGCCATGTTAGAATATTGATACATGTATATCGAACGTGTCCTATTAACACACTCGCCTGGCCTCGGCCTCTTGTCCGTCTGTCCTCTAATTGATCATGACATGATTGTAAAAATAGCTTTTGGTCAACAGCCACTTTGGCACTGAAATGTTATGACCAAGATCTTAAGTTTACGCCCAAGAGCTACAGCGTCGTACATATCAGAGCAAACAACGTGCAAAGCAGGTTTCTTCATTTCAATACAACGTGTTGAAAACCCACTTCATTATCCCTCAGATTCAGTTCCCTCTCGTCTCGTATTTTGACCACACGAAATTAAAACTAGGACAGATACTTTTAATAATCGATCATCTACATTTCGCTCAGAACCCACGTCACCCTTCAGGGGTTACGCCGAACTGAGGGCGGCAATTACTGAAATTTCGGGCTATAATTCTTTGTCGGTCGTAAAAGCTCTCTGAAACGATTGTCGGTGATGATTTTTAATAACTCCTGTTTCGTGGTTGTAAAATTTATTTACTTAACATTTCAAATATTCCTTCTGTCAAGAGATTATCCTCTCTCGCTCTTGTTATAGTCCACCTTAACTGAAGAAAATCTATCTAAGCAATAGTTTATTTCACTTGTAGAAACTACATGTAAAACGAATCCCATTTAATTTAAGCATAATCGACCTCGCAATTTGAAGTTGCTTTTTATCACGGCCGTTCGGCGGTGAAATGGACAGGTGTCCAAAAGTGAGGTTGATTTTCCAGGAATCGGCCATCTGCTTCTCATGGTTTGTGGGACAGCGACAGCTTTCACTACCACCTCCTGAAATGACAAGCTCGTCGCTTTTATTGTCAAATGTATATGGCAGCGATTTTGATGTGGCTGAACTTGTGGAGAAAGGGCCAAATTACAATCAGATTTTGCATTTCTCTGCATGAGAAAGAGCAATTAAAAATTCATTTGTTAGTAAATCAAGCTAAAACCATAAACCTTTTTACTAAATGACGACATTTATTCGTAGCCAATAGTTTTACCCCTTTTTTCAAGAAAACACGAACTACTTAATATGAAAACGGTATAGAGCAAATTTTATTTCATCGTTGAAATACCTTCTTATTTCTAGACAGAAAATGCTTAAAAATTGTCAAAGCAAACATAATCTTGACTGGCCACTCTATCTAAAAAGCATAAACTGAATCTTGATGTTGATCTGAAGACAGCCACATGTTGTTTCATAAGTTTCGCTCTTTGGGAGAATAGGCTGTATGTATGTAATACAGTTGGACCTCGCTAATTCAAACTCGGTTATTTCGAATTCCCCGCAATTTGGAACTGTATTTCAATTCCTGTGTTACAAACCAGTTTTGGATAATTATCCTTGTAAATGTCTTGGCTGACAAGAAAAGTTTTAAAACACTTAGTTGGTTCAAGAGACTAATTCATAGTCTCTTAGTAGGTTAAAGTGGAATTAAAACAGGTTTCGGTCATATTTTATTATGAGTACGCTACTTTTTACTCTGAAACCAAAAATATTCAACTAAATAAGTAAAATCAAGAAACCGTTACAGTGGTAACAAAATGATATTCTTCTCAACATCTGAAAATCGACGCGAGCATTTAGGCAGTCATGGGGGTAATTTTAAAAAAGAACAGCCATTTGTACTGAACTGCTGGTGGTGGATTGCTGTTCCAGAGACGATTAACTCCTTATTTAAGACGATTTCAGGTTCATTGTCGAGAAATTTCGCTTCCCCGGCGAAGAATAGGCTACTTTCACATAATTATCCTTGCAAATCTCCTGGTTTAGAAGGTAAGTTTAAAAACAGTTGGTTAAAGTGGAATATTTGATATATTTTATTATGAGTTCGCTCCTTCTTACTCTGAAACCAAAAATATTTAACTATACAGTAAACAATCCAGAAATCGTTTCAATGGTTTCAAAATTATGTTCTTCTCAAAATCTCAAAATTGAAGTGAGCGTTTAGGCAGTGATGGGGGTAATTTAAATAAAAGAATTGCCATTTGCACTGAACCGCTGGGGGTAGATTGTTGTCAGCTTGTCATTTTAGACGGCAGTAAAGTTAATTGTCGAGAAATTTACTTTGAAAATAAAAGTTGACAGTTACTTGTGATAATATATTGTTCGTGGCTAGTGTGTAGCTGAATATTTTTGGTTTCAGAGTAAGAAGAAGCTAATTCATAACAAAATATGACCGTAACGTGTTTTAATTCCACTTGAAGCAACGGCTTTAGAAACTGTAACCAACTGTTTTTTTGTTTTTTTTTACTTGCAACTAAGACATTTGCAAGGACAATTATGTAAAAGTCGCTTGCACAGGAAAATTCAGCAGGTTGCAGAAAAATGTAGGACTATTGACCGTATTTTAAATGATTGTACACACTGAGCTCACACATGGATAGGATTTAGACCATGGTCTTTATTTCATTACAAACCTTTACTGAACGGTAACTCGGATGAATAACTTCAAGAGATCGCTCATACTTACATCTTCTGAGACAGGGAAACCAAACTATCTGAAAAAGAATTTAAAAAGTGACATTAACACTCAAGTTGAAGTTAAGTGTCTGTATTTGTAAAGTGATATTTACACTTTGGTTGAAGTTAAGTGTCCGTGTTTTGGAAGTGTCTGTATTATAGAGTTTGAGATATTATGAATTCTAATGTCTCTGGAAGCAACTGAACTCTCCGCAATATCGAGGTGTCCCTACAAGGAGCGGACAAGCTGTACACAGGTGACAAGATTAGAAACTGAAAATCATCAAATGTTGCCGGGATGTGTTCTCGGTGCACCTAAACAAGGTAGTAAATTTGAAATTAATCAGGGACTTCATAGCCGATTGTAGAAATACGCAGGCGTGCTTTAAACAAGAAGAGGGTAGGTTGTAGAATTTACATTGCCTGGTTAATCTATCAAACCTAAAGAAAGGCATAAGATTGCATTAGAGATCATGGGAATTATTTAGACGAGACAAATGAAAAACAAGAGCGCAGAGTTGCGTTACGATAAACACAATTTATACCCGTACGATTTTAAACCGATTCGACTATTCCTTCTTGTTTTAAAAATACAAAGTAAGACAACCAGCTGTAAATTGAGGTTAAACAGCAGGTCCCAGCTGGTAAATGTTTTAAGGCCTTGTAGCTCCATACAGTGAATAAAAGTTAACTCCTATATGACATAAGTTACCTTTTTGCATGTTCGGTTGCGCTTACAGCCTAAGATCAAGCTGGAATGAGAGAGTTGACCTATTTTCCTCTCATGTATGCACATAAGACCTGAGCGAAGTGTTCTGACGACGAGCTAATGTGGGCTCGAAACGTCAACTTTACAAACTTCTACGTTGGTTAATTGACCATGATGAAATTCAATTTTATAAATAGCAACTGAAACATAGATGTAGTACAACATTTTCTTCAAAAACTAATAACTTAGCTTGTTCTCAGCCCACGGTATACGATATAAAGCATGCATGGATGAAAGGCAAAAGAAGAAAACTTTGAAATAAATCAGAAGCAAGGGTATTAGGGATGTTGTTCGCAAGGACTAAATAAGTGCATTCATTCTCTTTATGATGCCCGCAGTTTTAACGATTTGAGTAAACAAAAGGCCACAGCCATAGCTATTTATCAGCCATTTACATAGAAGAAGCAGTTGAAAGGCAGAAGTGAAATACTTCTGAAATTTTCATTCACGCTAGACGAGAAGCAACTGGTTCTAAAAATTGTCCGAACCGTCAAACTGAGCTCGTTGGTCTAATCTAGAACAGCTTTAATGGGAATGAAAGAGTTGAATCAGTGCAAAATGACCCCAGCAGATTATGAAGTACAATAAGCGAAAAGTACAGAAGATTACTAGAAAGATGGTTTTGCACGATCTTTCCATTCACTAACCAATGGATATTTCCCGTCGATATTTCACTTGCAGTGAATAGTTAGTCTTCCTTTTGTGTTTGTATTGTGGCTAAAATGTTTATGGTAACACAGTAGAGAGACCACATGTTTTTTCGCATTTCTGAAAGCCTGTTTTTAATTGCACTGTTCGTTTACATGTGCAGTTATTTTGCGTTTAGTCACGGAATGTGACTTTAAATGAAATTTCTTCGTCCTATTGTCTGAAAATCGTCGTTTGATTGATTAAGCAATTTTTTGAAAGCCACGCCATCAGTTCATATAAGAGCACGAACAATGCTCTTAGCGCTAAGGAACCTGTTTCTCGTAAAACAGAACAATGTGGAAGATTTCCAGACAAGTTTGATTTTGCTTTTTGTGTTTTGTGTCGGAGACTGTTGATCGGCTTCTTTGCTACGCAAGCTGTGTCGCTTGGACACAGAGAAGTCACCGGCTACTGGTTGTTAGAGGCAGACGCTTTACTATGCACATGCATGGTTTTTCTACATACATGTGCTTTGACGCCTAGCAACCAGCACCGCACTACCATAGACACGACTGTTATTTCACGCCAACTTTCACTCCTAAGCTAGGCTGAAAAAAATTGCGTTGCAGTGTATCAAAGTGAATTACAAAACCGTACAAATCAAGTGATATCAGACAGGAGACAGATTCAACAATACAACCTACTTCCATCACCTTTTTGTCATTGAAAGTCTCAATCTTATAAAAATAGATACAAATGTGATATTTGCTCACGCAGGTCGTTTCAGTATATACAGCCATTGAGCTAAAGAGAAAGTTCATCTAAAGCTCCAGGCGGTTTGAATACTTCGTTTCTTACTGATGAGCTTATCGCGCCGTGTCTAGCATATAGATCATAATTCCTTTTCTCCCATGGCCACCTGCTAAGACTTTGATTTAATATCTTACAACTGAGGCTTAGCACATCCAAAGCTAGAATTTTAAAAGTCTCAAGGATTATGTCGACGACAACGATAGCATATATATAAGATTCTACGAAACCGATAGCAATTCAAGGATTGAGGTTTTTCATCCTATGAAAACCACATACCAATAAAATTAAGGCTCTCTATAGTCAACTAACAAATTAATTGCGTAAACAATCTCGCTTATGAGAAAATAAACTATTTAAACAATGATATAATTTTATAGCTTCACAATGGGCGCAATTCCACGCCTTTGGGTTTCAATATAATCTTTCTCATCGGTTTATGACAAACATTTCCTCAGACATTTTACGTTCAGCATTCTTTGGAAGAAAAACTAAAGATTCCCCTTATAAGATTCTTTCTTTTGCGGAGAAGGAAGATGTTTAAGAATACCGGCGTCAATGAGCGAATTTTTATTTCAAAGAGATCACTTTAGAATAAAAACTTAACAATCTTTAATTAAGAATTTGGTTGAAATAATTTGCACGGAAATAATTTCTTCCTGTGTGAAACGTTATTGCGATTTCAACTCAAAGTAAATAGAGCAAGAGCAACAATATTAAAAATCATCTCATAAAAACACTCGCACTCGTTCTCGAACGAGAACACCTAAGCAGAAGCGTTGTATCATTTTTAAGGCAGCTATTGGGGGTAGATTTTCTCAGACCCTAATTTAAAAGCCGTGACACTTGTTCCATGAGAAAATAAATCACGCCCTATATGGTGTACAAAATGAGTCTAGAAAATACTTTAATACTGTAGTTTTCTACTAGAGCCAAACTCTATAACATATATATTTTTTCCAAGGGGCCAACGACCACAAGCCCCAACAACTTCTACTCAGCATATAAATTTCCTTCACAACGATTTTAGTTTTGCTTTGCTTGTATTCATACACAAGATCTCATAACGTGTGTGGTTTTAAACATTTCGTCAGATCAAGCCCGGTTAATGAAGAAGTAAGCCATCAGAGGCGTTTCCCTTTTTCTTGGATGTATCTTTTAAAAGCAAGGATTTGGTTTTGTTATTACAACTGTTATCAGACGTTGGTTTTACTCATATGTCTGTTACATAACATCTACAACGGTCGCTCTTACAACTTAGCGGAAAGTGGATATTGAAAATACGAAAATCTCTCAATTACCTCTACAAAAAACGCGGTTTCCTAACACTGGAACATTTTCCATGTTCACTTCTATCGAATAAAAACGTGACTATTTGCAAATTAAACGATAAGAGAGTGTTTTTCATTTCACTGATAAAATCTACTATACTTTCCCTTGGAGCAGATTAATACTAAGACGTTGTATTTGCTTTTCTGTGTTTCCTAGTTTTGGAAATTAACGTTTAAGTATATGTAAATGTTGTGGAGCTTTTCAATTTGTCTCCCTAAAATTCCTGAAGATTTTCGAATGGCAACCTAGGTTTTTGTAAGCATTGCATGTTTTCTGGTAGTTTCGTTGTACAATATTTAAAATAAAAACATGTTTGAGATAAGAAGTATATTTAATTCACTTGTTTCTACTCGCGATATATTTTGAAAGCTATCAAAAATGGAAAGAATTAGTCAGCAAAATTCACAGAATACCGAACATTTTCACTCTTGAGACAAGTAAAGCATAAAACGTAGAGTGCAGAAAACGAACCATGGTGGACCGCGTGGAAAAACACCAACAACCGTGAAGAAAAACGAAAACAAAGAAATCACCAAAATTCATGCGCTATTGAATTGGTGGGAAACATTAGAGCTGGTTCAGATTTCAAACTACTTCAAAACGCTACGTCCCGTAAAAAATGGCCTCTGAGAAATAAAAAATGGCCATTTCCATTTTACATCTACTCCTGTATACCAGTTGCATGGTTGTCAAACACAGCACCTGCCGTCCATCCTTGTGAAGCAAAGCAGCACCAGTTCGGTGAATTCTGGTTTCTTAGGGTTGCATTATTGTTTGCTCGAACCAAAATAGAATATGCGATTTCGCAACACTATAATTTCGTAGAAATGTAGGCTTTTAGATATTAGCTCAACATAAAACTAAGAAACTGTTCTCGGTTTTAAAGCGAAGGCTAAAATAAAATTGAATTATCGTAATGTTCTATGGATGGATTTAATTACATGGCATGTCTATGCAAGAATATTTTGCATCGGTAACATGAACTCTTTTTTCTAAGCTTCCTCAATCAAACGTTTTTCGTCGCGGTGATAATCGAGTTTCTATCTCATTGGTTGCGGCTACACAGTAAATAAAAACTTTTCTTTCTTGGACGTAATTATAGAACCACAGGGGATAAGGAAATAGGTAGAAAAAAACAACGATAAGACGAATGACTCGAGAGTCCAATTCACGTAAAAATGGTAATTAGATCTTTGGTATTCGTCAAGGTGAAAACTACGCTCGCTTGATTACACTTTGAAGAGTCGTTCTACTTTAGCTTATTTTGAAAATATAGATATGTTAAATGTTTCTTACCTATGATTGTTGTTTTAATTTTTTTTCTCGTGTGAGTGAGTTCTTTGCGGTTAACTGATAGCCTCGTAAACGCACCATGAAGAAAATTCGCTATGAACGTTGTCACCCTCGAACAGTAAGCGCGAGAGGTCGCGGTAATCCGTAGTTATTTCGACGCGTATTTGTTCTTTGCCGTTTCCGTGGAAGCTTTGTAAAGATTTGTTAACGTTGATAGCGCTGGTATGCATACATGAATATCGCTGCACCTCGAAAGCTGTTCAGTTATGTACGGTCATGTACACACTGCATGGCAAAACCGTCTATTTTTAATGGAATACTTGATAGAGTTTTACATAATAAAAGTAGAAAACATTAATTTTTACGAGGATACGCGTTTTCTTCTCTCGGCGTTAAGGGTTTCACAGAAAGCGGCGAAAAGAGAACTTCGCTTCTTTTACGACGAGTCAAGTTTTGGTAGTTGCGCTTGGGAAATTTTCTAAAATGGCGGAAAATCGACCAAGTGAATCAAGATGCCTTCATCAAAGGCGGCGCCGGGAGATAATGGACTCCCTCAAAGATTGGGGTTAGGTGTGTATCTTATATTTTCCCTTTCTGTCTTGGTATTGAATACACTTTTTTTCGCCTTGTTTGGGTTCGCGTTTTGCCGCTTAGACCTAGAAAATAAATTCAAATATAAGCAATTAGCATTTTATCAACACTGTGTTGAAAAAAATTGGGAAATTTGCATTGGCAATCATTTTCTCACTGGGAGATTATTTGGAGAGCATAACAGAAGTCCTTGAAGACTGCACGACTCTGGGAAATCGTTGAAAGGCGTTCCAGAGGAAAGAAAAAGAATTCACTATTTAAGTTTGCCTATAAAACGAAAAACCCAGTATTTCTTGAACAAAGGACAGCTGGGATTGACATCTGGTAAACATAGCTTCATTTGTTATCGTCTCCATTATATCAGACCTATATGGGTATTAGAATCACAACGATTTCCATTGTATGTGTAATTTGCGTCAGATAAGCTCCGCAGAAAGAGAAGTTGGTGATTACTACTACGTCCTGTCAGAATTTCTCGGAATTTCACACAACACGTCAGCAGGCAAATTCTTGAAAAGCTCTTTCAGATTAGTTATCATTCCGTCGAATAAATCGGAAATAACCCAGAAAGATCTTAAAATATTTCCAAGAAAATGGAAAACATTTTTAATCAAGACAGAATAATCACAAGATGGAACTAAAGATTTTAAATTTTTTTGCGTAAAAAGGAACTTTCAATGAATAAAACTAGAGTGCTTTTAATCCAAAACATTCGCTCGACTTAAAAAAAAAATTAATGCGGCTTTACATCATAGGCTAAGAAAACCGAAGAATTTTCCATTACCACGTCAAGTTCAATTACCGTCAATGTCGATTCTTTTTTTTCCTTTTTAGCGAGCAGGACTATTAAGCTAAGGGCGGAGCGAGAACAATCTGTCATATTCAGTTCCTAGTTGTATAGTTGCAATGTTTTGAAGTTCCTTGGCGAATAAAAGCTTGCCGCCGTGTGCCAATAATGCTTTGCATGAGAGCCCAAAAATTCTATCTCACGCCGAGTAATCAGCCGGGGAAAAAGATAAAAACGAACACGTCTTTCGCTTGATGGTAATGAGTGAATTCACGCACACAACGCAAAAGGTAATGATTGCGCATTCACGAAAGGACGAATTTAAAACTCTGACAACAATACGTCCAATTCTGCGCTCTGTTAGTTTCACTTTCATGTAGTTTACCATCATTAGCTCCGCGAAGTTTGTTTTGCCAATATTAATTCTTAACCAATGAAAAGTGATAACCTTCGTAATTATCTTCTTTCCAGCAGAATTCATTAATATAGGGCTTAGTTCATTCATCAAACTAATTCTACACGTCCAGAAAGGTTTAGTTTGGTGGCCAATGGCGCTATAGCAATGGGCTACCCCTTACACGTGTGTGGCGTGTGCCAAACAATAACCCGATTACACTTGAATTGGAAATTGGCAAGAAACCGCGTTCATTGGTTCTCTTCTTTATTGAGGGGAGACTGTAAGTGCGTTAATGAATTTTAATAAAGGGATTAATTGTCTCAAGCCGATTTGTTGGTAACAAAAATGTTACACTTCAACACACAACTTCACGCATGGATACCGCTTGGAAAAATCTCGCTCCAAAGCTACGGAGACGAAAAATTGCCGCGAACGTTTGATAGAACTACGCAGTTATAATTCCCCCAAATTCCACTAGTTGTTTAGACCGGTGCTAATCTTGTCAGGCCTTGAAAAGATACCCGTAACTGGTGATTGCCGAAATTTTTTGTTATCAATTTCCCCCCGCAGATGTTTCATGAATGAGTTATTTTTTCCCAGCGAACCGGGTCAGCCGAGAGCTGGAACTCACGACCGTGTCAACTCGGACAGGTTCAGCTGCCGTTATACGCACGCGCAGTATTAATTTTTAAACTGCGCTTGCGCATGGGTTTGGAAACAGGTGCATGTGAAGTGCAAATGTTGTTAACACAATGATAATGATTGTCTCTTTCTTTACGGGCACTCTCACTGCATTTAAGAACATTTTCACGCCATGCTAGCAGGCTTCAGTTCGCAGTGAACGTCTCCGAGATGAATCGCGACAGTTTATTGAATAAGACTTTAAGTCCTCCTCTGTCATCTCGAGTACCTATTTCTCATTCTAATGGTATTTCTTACTCTAATTCTTCGCTTTCCGGAGGTCAGATGAATGAGCCAAGCTGGATACCCTCGATTCGTGGATCTACTCACTCGGTATTTATTCTGAAATTTTTATTTGATGCTTTTTGTAATGTTTGCGTTCGCGCGTCGGCCGCTCGGTCTCGCGTAAAGGCGCTCGCTCGTCCGCTCGCTCGCAATTTTCATCATCTAAAACTATTTCTCTGACTTGAACAATTTCAAATTAATATTTTTATTCTTTCTTGTTATAGCTGTCTTTCCCGTCAAGATCTAACAACCTGGTATGTGATAAATAAAATAAATACAACTTGATCGAATTCATTTCCGTTAGTCAACATTACACTCTGGTGCTTAAACATCGTTTTTCCCTTCCTGCATTGTAGATTCCTCCAAGTGTATTTGATGGATTTGATGACTCGCACCTACTCTCCGCCTCGCAGCTCGAGCCGATGCCCAAATATCTCTCGACGAAGCCAAACAAAGCGTCCGGCTTCACAAGTTTGCACAGCTACCACTCGACTCACGGGCACGACACGAGCACATATGATGCGCACGACATTCTGGATCAAATCTCGGCCTCGCTGCAGCCAACAGTAAGCGAGTCTGCGTTTGATAAACCGTTTGAAACGCCATCGCCAGTCACCGCCACGCCTGTGCACTCTTTACACTCAGCTATCCATTCCGCTATTAGCGTGGCGGCCAGTAGCGACGATGTAATGAACCCGCGAGAACTAGAGTGGTTTGCAGAACGCTTCAAACAAAGACGAATCAAGCTCGGCGTTACTCAAGCGGACGTGGGCGCCGCACTAGCACATTTGAAAATCCCTGGCGTAGGGTCTTTGAGCCAGTCCACGATTTGTAGATTTGAGTCGCTTACACTGAGCCACAATAACATGATGGCGTTAAAACCCGTGTTGACAGCATGGCTAGAAGAGGCCGAGAAAGCGTACAAATGTAAGAATACAACGAGCCAATTCCTTCCTAATTCGGATAAAAAGAGGAAGCGAACATCGATTGGTGCGGCCGAGAAGCGCTCGCTAGAGGCCTACTTCGCGATGAACCCAAGACCTTCAAGCGACAAGATTGCTTCGATCGCTGAAAAACTAGACCTTTCAAAAAATGTCGTGCGGGTATGGTTCTGTAACCAGCGACAAAAGAAGAAAAGAATGAAATTCTCCGTTCATTGAAGGCTCGAAAAAAAACTGGAGTAAAACTGAATTGAATTTCCTGCCGGAAATCCCAGCAAAAATCGCTCCATGGATCGATCGACGTAAGCGCAGATGCAGACACCGAGTGGTCCACAGCAATTTGGAGTAAATTACAAATGGTGAATTTTATTTATATTATAAACGAAAATTTTTGAGTCAATGAATGAAGCAAGCCCTGATTTTTATTGCTGCTACTATTAAGCTACAAAAGTTTTAAAAATAAGATAGTAGTTCGCGTCTTTCTAAAGAACGAACGCGCTCGGCCTTGAGTGGAAAACGAACTCCGTTGGAAAGCGATGCCTCTGGGCATTGCATTGGAAGACGTTTCGTTATCTTGACGAAACATGTCGAGAACAACTTAAGAGCCCGCAGGTAAATAATATTCAGTGTATACCCTATTAGCTTAACAACTAAAGCAAGAAATTCCTAAGCACGAATCACTTCCGCCAGTAGTAAAATTATTCATAGTTCATATTGCCACAATTTCGTCGAAGTAACGATAAGAGTTTCGATTTTAGGCCCGAGGTTTGATGATAATGAGGCCCGAAATTATTTCGCCTACACCTGTTTCTTTTTGGCAAAATCAATTTCCCCATTTATGAAAAGTTGAATGTATTACTTGCAATTTATGTAAATTTGGAGGTTCTTTGTGAGGAAAAGCCGTTAAGACGTTATTAGTTTAGCACAGAGTCAGTGGAACGACGGAAAATCGTTAAATTAGGTGAAAACAAATATGAAAACGTCCATCGCTTTTCAAACGGTTTTTCTTCAAATAGAACCACCACAGACATCAATTACGCGCCCGGGTTTGGCTTTGTTCGCCAGTGCAGTCCAATGAAATTCATCCTTTTAATTGCTTACAAACACTTCAGTAAAGAACTTACTGCTAGATAGAAATAATGGCATAGGCCCGGAAAGTATATGTATTTAAATATATATTTTGAAATTTTATACGTTGAGGAAACTTTTATGAATTAATCTTTACGATGTATATTTATTAACGCTGTACAAATTTTACCGCTAGCACCACAATTTTAAGTCATTTTCTGAATCTCTATTTCGTTTTTAACTCACTGGTGCTGCGGGAATGTTGTCGATGGTTACGTTATCTGAAAGACCGGATAAAAATGAAAACCAGTGTTCTCAATTTCCAGATTTGTAATGAATTGTGCTTAAATAGACGAGAAGTTTTAATAAACTGAAGAGTTCGAGGAAAACAGACGAGAAATCGTTTTTATTTGTTTTGCTTTTTGTAGCGCGCTGGTTTAAGACCACCCGTATCTATAATTCCCTTGCGTGGTACATTGTGGCGAAGGCTTTCTTGATTAACAGTCGCTTTTTGTCCGTCTTACAGGTTGTTTGGTGAACTAATGGTGATTTCGATGGCAAACTATTGCTGAGAAAACCGAGTTGGCTCGAAAAAACCGCGTTGTGTTCTTTCCGAACGACATTTTTCGGTTATTTTGTCAGCGAGATAATATCATAAACCCACAAAATGAAAAAGCAAATTAAAAGGGAAGTAATTTTGGGAATTTAAGACGGCATCTTGTGAAAGGCGCAGAAGAAACCACCGCCAGGCCATTACGTAGTATCAACGAACTGAACGTGACGTGGCTGCAACGCGAGAACTTTAAACTCTTTTATTCCTATTTCTAGAGAGAATTTTCTTCTTACATTTTTTGGAAGCGTCGTTAAAATCGAGAAAATGCGTGAAATCGAGTGCGTAAGATGCCCTCCTTCAACTTTGAAGGGAAATGGCTTGGTTTGAAAGTAATTATTTCATTTTCAGCAGGTGCGCGGATGGAAACTTGCAATCTCCCGCTAGGATTTTCATTTTGAGATTTCCCATACGTACTTAAATGATAATTTCACGAAGTAAGTTGTATTTAGAAGTTTTAACCACAGTTTATGTAATCGAGGTTCGAATCGATTCTGGCGCCATTCCTTGATGGAAATGGAAATGTGTCGCTATTCGGCCCACGACCAAAACAGAGCTGATTCGTTTAAAACAAACGCGATGACATTTACACAAAAGCCTGCGCTTTCTCTAACACCGAAGTTGAGAAGCAACATATTTTTTGGATCGTAAATGGCTATCTTCTCTCACGGACCCGTTTGTGTCGCGTTTTTAAGTCGTCAAATTTACCGCATTGTTGGCAGTTAGCACGTTGTTTTTTCTCGTGGTTTCAAGCGGTCGCACGTGCTAGTTTATAAATGATACTACCAAAAAGTTCTATCCCTCAAAAACTAATTACTCCAAAACTATGCCTACAGAATCCTGTATGAAACAAAGCCAAGCCCTCGGGGAATGAAATTATTTTACCGAAGGTTTTTAAATCCAGGATAGTTTTCACGGAAGCGCTTTCCTCGAGTAAAACGAAACAATTTCGACGCTAACAAAGCGCAACACGAGATCATCTCCCAAGACAAAGACGAACTTCTAGGCAGCTGTTGTTGTATTACATACGACCGACGTCTCCAAATAATACTCTTCGCTGGAGACACTTAATTAGAACTCTTCCAATAAAAATTTTACCGTAAACTGAATAAACAAGACTGGCTATTCCCGTGCGTGTTTATGCCTTCAATCGAAAATCCAGTCTTTGAACAAACGATAACTAGAGAAGTGCGCAGGTATTTTCCTTGACACATCTGTAAAATTGAAGGTAACGAAATATATGAAGAAGGATTATGATAAACTAGTGTTTGAAAATATCGTAGAAGCGGCAATTTTTGAACAGTTGTAAGAGCTTTCTACAGAGGCCGGTTAAATTAAACCTTGCTTGAAGTAATAAAAGCAATAGTTTTGCAACAATGGCTCGTGTTTTTTATGCTGACTATCGCTTCAATGAGCTACCTAAACATAAAAAAAAACTAAAATAAGAATTGGTGACTATACGTTAGGTAAGAGAGCCATGTATTTTCAAATGAAAAATCATGAAAAATGGTATCTAAATTTCACAAAAAAAAATTGAACACAAGACCTTGTGAAATGAAATAAAACTGGTATCGTGAGGTGAAGATATTGCATGTTTTAGCCAGGGGCACAAAGTAACTCCTCATAACCCAAGCTAGTTAAATTAAGGAATTTTTCTAATTTGCGAAATAAGAAGCATCACTTTCTTGCCGCAGTTTGTTCATTGGACCCTCCGTTCTAGTTACCAGAGTTTAATTCTACGTGCCTTCATTGCCTCGTCTTGGACCTGGTACATGAAATAGAACTAAACTTCAAAAGCTCTGGGAGATAATTTATACTCCCAAATAAAAGTACCGTAAATAAGCGTAATAAGGAAGGCCAAAATTGATAAAAAGAATTTTTAGTGCTTCGTGACACAAAAGTTGCCTAAACCTATGTGAAAAGGATGAAAACTTGCTCCATCGTTATCGGCGACCAAGTGAAGTCTCCACCCGGTCCGAAAATATCCTTGTTTTGAGAAACGCAACAGTCAGCTGTGTGAAAGCCAGAACCACATAAGCGAAACCTACAACACCTGTCAACTCGAAAATTACAACGACTCGCTAGGGGAGAGATACAAAGATAGACTTCCTCGCAAACATCGAAATTTTTAAGTGATGATTCGTTCAATGAATAAGTTGGCAAACATGTTCCAAGGCCCGGCAAAAGATACTACAAAGTATTCCAAAAGCTTATACGGGTAGACGTTGTTGACACTGAAGTGTCGTCGCTTTTCTTATTTCCATAGAATCGAATATACAACAAATGGAGTTTATTTCAGCCAGGATGTGTCACAAATTGAAGCTTATGTTTTTTTTTAAAAGAATGAAAAGAGAATCTATCCATGCTTTCTATTGCCAAGGATAGTAATGGAAGATTCTTTTCAATTGATATTTCCAAAACAAACGGAATTCATGATTATGCGAGGTAGGAGGTAATGAGGAAATATAAACAAAGTAAAATAATAGTTTTCGTATGGAATAAAACCCATCTACCTCTCAGTCTTACGCTTTAAGGATATTTCATGTTATAGAGAAATAAATTTCAATATTTACTAAAATATTAAGTAATAGTTTCATGCTCTACACACTTGCAGGTACTTTCATAACTGGTTCCAGTCTGAACACTGACCTATGTCCTTCCTGGCGGCCATTTTGAATTTATCCTTGGCCTTGCAATACGATGAAAAACAAACTTCACTCTCACGCACAGAAATAGTGCTACTAAACTCCATTTTGGAGTGTCGATTGAAGAATGCAAGTATTTTGAATTCCAATAATGCGAGGACGAAACTGAAAAACTTTGTAATTTCGTTTTGGTGCCGTCGCCATCAAACCCAAAGGCGATTAATTACCACACCTCAGCTCACATGAAAAGCAACTGAAAACACGAAGATAAGAAAGTTGTAGCGACGCTACGAGTAGATAAAATTAGCCACCAACTTAAATATTTCATGCTAACATTTGGAAGCTACAAAATTTTAATTATGTAGGAATACGACTTTGAGGCTGTAGAATAATTGTGGAATAGATGCAAGTCCACACAAAATGGAGTTCTTGTAACTGAGGTAAGATGTGTCGAAGAATTGCATCGATGTTTGCATTTTTGTTAAGCTATTGCTCAAAAAACATATTACTACAAGAATAATCCTTTATAGTTGTGTATATGTCGCATGAAATATGCAGCGCAATTTTAATAATGGCGTTTTCTCGCAATCGGAAAAGTTCAGTTTTTGACCTGTGGAGGATGACATATAATAAAAGCTAAATAACTGAGCACAATCATGTTGTCAAATATAACCTTGTCAAATATATTGCGAAGAGATGAATTTATAAAACAGAAAGATTGAAATTAAAATTTCTCCTCAGTGAAGCAAGAACTTTACTTACAGTACATGCATTTTAATGTTTTTAACTTGAAATCCTTTCATCACATTAGCGACTTAAATGGTGGCCAAACTGCACTGCAGCAATGGTTTCACTCCAATATTTGAAGGTTCTTACCTTCTTTACAAGTTCATTGACTGTTGAATGCTTAAAAGCATGTAAACTTTAAACAACTAAAGATCAGAATTATGAAATTTTAAAGCGTTCAAGGGTTTTATTTATTGATAGAAAAAGGTAAGTCGCCGAACGACAGAACAAAACAAGATATTTCAATCCTCATTTAAGGTGCACATGGTGTCGAACGCTTTGACATGACAAGTTTCACTTTTTATTATTTAAACTTCAGTACAAGCGTCGCGTCAACGCTTGATAATTAGCACCACATAAACGTGAGTTTCGTTATGAGGAAATGTGAAGTTTTCGGTACTACACAGATTAAGCGTCGATAACAGATGAGTTCATCGACTCAAATACCGAAACTCTGGCAAGCTATTTTCACACCGATCAAGGCTTAGCGAAATTCTTCATCAGGTAAGATTGGGTGATTTTAGATCGAAGTACTTTTAAAGTCTAAGACATAAATGTCACAAAATATCTTAACAGGCAAAACTTGTGCCAAAATAATATTTGTGTCCAGCTGATCTCGGAGTGTAAAATGAAAACGGATTGTAATTGTCTATTCTCCTCACATAAATTTCTAAACTTAAAGCAAATTTTACACAGAATGGCTGATAATGAAGTGACTGCAAAACGCATTGTAAGAAAATTCCATGGTAATGAAGTGTATAATTTTCAGTTTTCGGTTTTTGAACTTTTGTTGCATTTGACAAGCTTATTCGTCAGGACGCTCTACATACATGTCAATAGAAAGCGGCAGATTTTGTCAATATGACGCTTTTCAGCAGATATAATATATATCTCTACCAGCTAGTTCATTTGTCCAAGGAAAACTAAGAATTACGGAAATTTCATTCACGAAACGTGGAATATCGAAATTTGTCACATACATCCTACGTGCAATATAGGTCTTGTATACCGTGTGATATCAGTTGAATGAATCGTTGGTTTAGATAATTTTTCGAGGAACTTATAATAATACTGATCGATATCGAAAAAGCAAAGAACGGCCAACAATACTGACGACCTTCGCATTTGCATTATAGAAATAACCATAAAATTTTCACAGTTTGAGAGGAAATCATATCATGTGATACTTCCAACAAGAAATAGTAAACTTAACCAACCACCTGCCTCGCGAATGTCTTTGTATTTACTGAGGAAAATTTGAATCATAACAGCTTATACTACTGCCTGGAGAAAAGCTCCGAGAATAAAGGATGACGAAAATAGAACAAGCTTTAAATATAAATCAAACTAACTCAAGGGAAAGGGCTTTTACATTCTCTGTAAGCTTTTAACATGAGAGTAAATTGTTTTATGAAACTCCTTAGCAGTACTCCGCTAATAAGTAGAACATTTTGTATTATTTTATCCATTCTGTTTAAAACTATACTGTTTATAATTCCGCCCTTGAGCCACCGAGTAAAGATGTTTCTTCGAAGATATACCGCTTATGAATTGAATGGGCAGTGAGAGATTTTAAGTTTGAGTAATATATACCTGTTGTATAGACTGGTCGGCCACCAAATAGCGAAGCATACAACCACCTGTGCTACCAAACAATTTCACGTGCTTTGGTTTGAAATTTGCAAGACGTAGGAAGTCAATTTATTTCATAATCACAGAACCTCGCTCGCCCCAAGTTGTTCAGTTCATCCACAGGCAGCATTAAATCTTTATTTAAAAGCTATTCGACTGAAGAGCAACTTCAAATATACAACTCAGAACTGGCAGACAAAATATGGAAAGATTCTCACAGGTTTTTATGGCGTACTCGCCGTTTGCTTAGAATCTTAACAATAGTAAATCGCCAACGTTTATATTTCTAATTATGTCACATGTCGCAGAACAGGTCGCGGTGGAAATACGTGAGATTGTCCACGTTATTTTAAAGGTTGTTCAATAGAATTTAAATACCGTTATATTAAGAGTGACAAAAGCCTATATATGCAGCTAACAGATGTCCTTTCTTTGCTAAAGGTTACTGAAATAGGTGAAATATTGAATTGAGGAATTCAAATCAGTAATTCGATACGATATCAGAATGCATGAATTTGGAGTAAATCCGGTTTGCAATGAATTTACGTTTCACCACAACCTTGCCATTTTCTCCTATCATTGAAAACTGCGTTCCACTTTGTTTCAGGTTTTTATCAGTAAGTTCATAGCTTGAAGTGCAATGACTCCAAATCCTTCATTCTCTTTTTATTAATTCTTTCTTAGCTAACATGCTTTAGTACTTCTCATCATTACCAGTTTCATGTTTATATATTCGCTAGCAGCAATGTGGACAGTCTTCAATGAAAACATTTACGCTACATCTTCAGGGATTGTCAAAATGTATTGATTTAACAAACCAAACTTGAAATTATTTATGATGGTGGAATGCACATCACAAACATTACCAATAACATGTTATACATCAATTTCGAAAGTTCTCTTGTAAAATTTTAAACTTATAGCGAAAAATGTTACGTAGGTAAATAATTGCGTAAAGCTGGATTTTGTATTCTGGGGCGGTGTATTTTGCAGTAATACTATCGAAGAAATTTCCCTTTGCCTATAATAGTTCTGATTATTACATATAACTGTTCATGCCATGTAAAATATTCTCAGTTATTTCCAGAATGAATCTAGAAGATAATTCAATAGTCAAATAAAGGGTGTGACATGACAATCAGATGTTTTAAATTACGCGCTGTTCGTATCATCTGGATCGAATGCATTGTGGACAAAACAAGATTGAGTAATGCTTCTTTCCAGTCATTACTGTTAATTTATTACACCTGAAGATGAGAAATATCGTTATCGTCATTACTTATCAGCGACTTGAGGCCATAAAAAGTCACTCCAACTGCAAAAACGATTTTGAAATAGTTCTTCCAACTAGAGTTGACGTTTTAAAACCTGACTCTCCATTATGAGATTCATATTCATTTGAAAGCTACTAACTTTCCTCCAGTTCAGGTCAGAAAGACTGTTTTACATATGAGCCAATGCCGGCATTTCTTTGCAGATGATTTCTCTTTTAAAATTTATTTATTTGGACTTAGCTAAAATGAGTCATTTAGTATAACAGAGTTTACAGATCTAGTAAGATTTTAAGTAATTGTTGTGTAACGAATTATCCTATCTAAATACTTTTAAGCTATGGATGGAACGTACAAACATGCTAGACCATATCTTAAAACTTCACCAAAGTCGTCAAGCACACTAGAACAAAGAATGAGACTAATTTAGAACTTAGACAGCCAGATATATACTTGGACGGGTCTAAACATGAAAATCTCGAGATTGTTCTTTACATATATTTTCTTGTCGATCTGAAGATCTTCTTTGTCCTAGAGGCTGCAATCAACAGGATACATTTTCGTCCTTGCAGGGTATTAGACTGATTATTTAAACTGTTTTTCTCTGCCGACAATCATTCAGTGAGCTAAATTGAGAATCAATGGCACTGTCCAGAATTGCCATTGTTTCAGAGAGGTTAATACGTTTAATATCAGTCTGGTGGAACCTTACAACTGACTTCGCGTTTTACACGGTCGCGTTTTACGCGATCCCTTAGCATGTCGCCAGCAAATTCAACCAGCTATGACTGAGGGTAATTTAATACACTTGTCTTGTTTACAAACTGTTGTTCATTCTGAATCTTAGGTAGCTACATGCTTATCTTGGTTTTGTTTTGCTTGTTTCATTAGCATGAAGACTGACAATTGGTCTACCCCTTATGGAAGGATTAATATTCCATCAAAATCAGACTGTGTCAAAATGCAGCCTCATATGGTACTCATGTTTTAAAATGTCGTTTATCCTGAATCTAAGTTTGCTCCTTATCTTGTTTTATTTTCTATTTATCGCGTTAGCGTAAAGAGATTTGGAGTATATCTACTCTCAAGAAATGGCTTGATAATCCGTTGAGGTAAACCGCCGGCACATTTCCCTTTTTCTCGCAACAAGCAAGTTCCTCCTCCTTGCTCTGTCTTTCTATTTATTTATTTTTGGTTTCTGTTATCCAGTATACAGGAAAGTGAAAATTATAGGCGTAAAGGGATATGAATAGAAGCCAAATAATGAGAGAGAGTTAAAAGAACCCGTGAAGACCTTTCTTTATGTTCTTACGCACGTGTGTGGAGATTTGGAAAAACGAAGGGAAACAGAAAAAGAGAAAATTATACAATACGCGCCAAAAAGCACTTTAGTATATAATACTTCATGGCATGGCATAGGTGAGGCATTCCAAATCTAGGGTCCTTTGGGAGATATAATATATGTTTACTAGGATATCTGCATTTTTCTTATACACAACTTATCGCGGAAAGAACTAAAATATCGCTATATGAGCGGACACTGGTAATGACAGCAAGCGTAAAACTAACTTGAGAAAGGACTAAATAGCCAGAAAAATGTCGCGTTATGCACGGAAACTTATAATGAAGGTTAACGAAAACCTAATTTGAGAAAGTACTAAATAGCCAAGAATGTGACGATATGTGCACGGAAACTGGTAATGACTGTTAACGAAAACCTAATTTGAGAAAGTACTAAATAGCCAAGAATATATCGATATGTGCACGGAAACTGGTGAAAACTGTAAATGATGCCAGAAAAACGTTTATGAAAGGATTTTTTAACAGGTACCGCGTTGACAACCATGATACTTGCCAGTCGTGTTGAATAGCAAGTCAGATTTTCGCGCCAAAACACGACAGCTGAACCACGCATGTCACTTAACCTGTAAATTGCTTTAAGGCTGACATTTAGCGGTACTTTTGGCAAATCCACAATAAACAAAAGCAAGGAGATTAATATTTGTAAATATTAAGGAGGAGAAGGTTTTTTTAAAGTATTATAATCACTCACAGACAACGACTGATGAGAAGGGAGGTTTCTATTTCTTCCATTCCTGTTTTCAAAAACGCACAGTTACCGATCTCATATTCGCCTAATGTGAAAACACTGTCAAGACTCGACTTAACAATTTTACCATACTGGGCTGCGATGTTCGAAAGTCAGTTAACGCTAACCCAGGGTTAAAAGTTAACCAAAGTATTAATTTTCCTTGTATAAAAATGTTTTCCACTGCCTATGTTTTGAGTAGTTTGAGATTATTCAAACTCAAAACTGAAGGACAAACTATATAAACAGAAAACCCCACCGAGTAGTTACAAAATTGTTTCACTAACTTAGCTTAATCGGGCTTTGAACACCCGGGCATTGAACTCCCATGAATCCGGTATATATAGAAGGCCCTATTTTTTTATTCGAAAACTCGATTCCATCATGCTCTTGAGAACGACTTCAAACTGTACTACCGACTGACCCCGGATCCACCCTCCAGGACTAATACCAGAAAAAGGTTACAGGAAATGACTGAAAATCAGAACAATCCTGGACTATCGTGTGCTTGGCACATTCAACAAAATGCCACCCAACGAGATACTTCTTTGAAGTGTGAAATCGTTACTCAGTTTTCTGATGCCAATTGTCCCAAAGCGTTGTTGGCATATTACGGTTGTGGAGAGGGAGGTGACGACCAACTGAGGTCCTTCTTTTGTAAAAGGGTGCAGTGTCCCAAACTTTTGACTAGGATTCTACAACTTAACAATTTTCTGAGCCCCCCTTGCCCCAGAGCATTGCTTGAATGCTATGGTTGTGGAGAGGGAGGTGAAAACCAACTTAGGCCATTTGTTGCAAAAAAAATGCAATGTCCCAAACTTTTGACCAGGATTGCACAACTTAACAATTTTCTCAACCCCCTTGCCACAGAGCATTGCTGGAATAGTATGATTGTGGAGAGGGAGGTAACGACCAAATGAGATCATTTTTTGTAAAAAGTTGAAGTGTGCCAAAACTTTTGACAAGGCCGGATTGTACAACTTAACTTTAGGTAGAAGAAGCACGCACTGATGTAGACAAGCAGATTTTTGTTGTCGGTCTCTAGACATTTTTTGTGGCACTAGTTGAGAAAATTTAAATCATATTATCATGGTGAACAGTAAGAAATTTGTCCTGGGGTACTTACCATTTACATGGGAAAACCGGAAATTCCAGTTGGAAAATCAAATGGTTCGCCCCATACCGTTTGGGAAGCTTCAGAAAATATGGGCTGTGATTTGAGTTGATGCTATTTTTCTGCTCTTTTAAGTCTCTCTAACGGATGTGGATATACTTTATAGTGATTCCCTCTCTCGCAACGTCGAATTTAATTGTTTAATGTTTATGCCTGAAATTTCCAACCGGATGGTTTTTGTAAATGGTAAGCACCCCTGGACTACATGCCTTATCGTTATCTTGTGTATAATTTGGCATTTTCTACGAAGACTGTCACCTCAGACTACTATTAAATATTCATGGTGTTACGTGTGCTCTTATTCCATGTGGCTTAGATCCAAATCTTATTCTCGATTTGTCGATGGAGGTAAACTATGCGAAAAATCTTCTAAAGAGCACTTGAACTTAATTTAACCTTAATAGCAAATTATTTTGCACAGTTTGTGACAAAAAACAGCGACAGACTATGCTAATCACCTATCCTTTTCCCTTTACAGAGGAAATGAAGCCAAACAAAAAAAATAATAAATTGGTGAAATGCAGTTACTTGTAGTAAGAACGATTCTTAATTATCTAAAAGTAATTATTGTTTGGAATAAATTTCCACTTGGAATGATAAAAATTGGTTTCGAAAAAAAACGTTCTTTTCTTTACTTGTGGGTGTGTTAAAACTTATTGTGTCACTTCTAATATAAACTTGCTGGAAAGACGTGGATGCTATTTCACGTAAGGGTCTGTACAGTTATAAAGTGCAATGGTAAAGTCACACTCAGACCTAGACTCAATACCCGCGCAACCACCCCTCTCCCCCTNATAAAAAATAAAAAATAAAAGCTTAGAGAGAACCTATCCAGCCTAACTCAGACCAAACTGTCCGATACTGCAGAAGCTTATCGCCGGTTTCCTAGAAATAAAGAAAACTTTACAACTCGCCCTTCCAGCATTTTGGCAGGCTACTTTCACTGCTCGCCGGTACTCGCTTATACTGCTGGGTGTAGAGAGTTGCTGTGAGAGTAAAGTGTCTTACCCGAGAACTCAACAGAATTTCTCCGTCCGGTGCTCGAACCCGGACCTCATGATCCATCCATAAAGCCAACAATAAGGCCGCTTTTCTTCTCAAGGGTCCCAAAAACTTCTCCGTACGCAACGTTAAATACGGCTGTATAGTTAACCAAAACGTAAAAATATAGTTGGACCCTAAACTTTGGCCAATAACGTACTGTCACCCGTTCATCTTTCAACTGCAGAGGAATTCCGCCTACCACTGCCACAGTATTGTAAACACCTCGTTATTACGCCGTTTTCCTCTCGCCCGATTAAAAGCTCGGTCAATTTGCTTTTCGTGCGTTATCTCATCTGATATAACCAGAGGAGATAATGGATAAATACGAAAGTAAAAACCGAGCAAGGTTGTATTAACTTATCATTAACGTGCCAATTATTTTTAAATTAAATTGTGCCCCGTTCACACCAACATGTTAAACATGTTTAAACGTAGTTTAACTAAACAAGATTAAAAATTAATTGCTCATACCTTACATATCCCACAACTTAACAAGGTAAAATCCTGTTTGATTAAAATAGTTAACACGGGGGTTTGCAATTTGTCTTCCCTAAATGACTGCAAAGCGTAATCGAGAAATTGGAAAAAACCTAAGCCTGATTTAGTTAAACTAGTTTAGTTGGTGTAAGTGCGGCATCACGGTCGACACACACAAGGAGACTATTCCCTGCGAATAGTCCCTGAACTAGTCTTCTGAAGAGTTTACACGAAGAGACTGGTCGCAGGGACTCGTCCCACGAACGGTTCACACGAAGCGTTTTGAGGAACAAGTCGCAGGGACTTGTACCAAAAATTCACACCGGTTTGAATTCGTGGGACTAGTCGCAAGGACCAAATTTTAGTCCTTGCGACAAGAGTTTTTGGCAAAAATGATTAGTTCACACGATGGGACTTGTCCCCTCGTGTGTGTCGACCTTTAGGGTGTAGCTAACTACGAACAGGAGTCGACGTGCGAGTCAGTCGTGACATCATGTCAAAGGGATTTCCTTTTGTTTCTTTTCTCTAGGTGAAAGGTTAAAGTCTGCAGTCGAGCCAAAGTCACCGTCATGTAGAAGCTTAGATATAAGGTTCAAAAGGTTCTTAAAAACGTCAAAAATGCGCTGGTAATCTAAACGTTTCGGGCTTAGCCCTTCTTCAGTAGGTGGAATGTAGAAGTTTATCCCGGCTTCCGTACCCTCGATGGAATGCTAGTTCGTCACCCCACACCCGAACCTCCCTTCCCCTCCCTCAACCTCCAGCCTTTCGTCAAGTGCTAGTTGCTGTACAGCTGTGCCCATTTAAACACCAGGGCACGGAAAGAAGCTGTGTAAGAACGGTGTTTTGCCCAAAAACACAACACCATGGTTTACATGTCGTCCACTTGGTCCACATTTAACCAGAAAACAATAGGCCGCGCATTGGCGCTGTTCCTTTCTACTATCTACTTTTCTTGCAGAAACGTTTTAATCAAAAACTTCAACAATCCAAGCACAATTTACCTTACTCCTACGACTAAACCTCAAAGCAATTAATTTACACCAGCTTTCAGTGTTACGTGCATAGGCGACATTTTTCGACATGCTATGTAACCTGGCCTACGTAAGAAATATAAGCACAACGGATTTCTTTTCGGTCGAACTCGACTTTTAGTCATGAAAGATTGATTTATTTGACATCAGAATAAGGCTAGGAGTATGAAAGAAGTCTTTCTATGAGAAATAAATCGACTGTTTTGAACGCTTACGTCTTTCGAATATTATAAGCGGCAGCCGCCCAATTCTACCGGAAGTCACCATTGAGAGCCGATCGACCACACTCAAACCGTCTGATTTATCCAGTAAATCGGGAAACATGCAAAGTCCATAATCTTCTTCAGACATTTGAGGTCTGTAATTATCATTTATTTGTCATTTTCTTCCGCTAATAACCAGAATAATTGCCATTTTCACGGTCTTTCAGCCGTTAACATAGCATGTCGAGAGATAGTCGAAAGATGTCGCTTAAACACGTAACACTAAAAGCGGATGTAAGATCAACTGTCAAAGACAATTAGCTTTATTTGGGACCAAAAAAATAAAAATCAGAAAATCGAAAGCTCCAATGTTTGGGGCGACGCTGTATACTTATATATACGTAACCATTCATTTATCTAGTAGAATACCACTCTTAACTTCGAGTTAAAAATTAACATTTTTAAAAGTTGTAGATTTAGACTCAGCAAAACTGAACATAATTTTTACGTTTGAGACCTACTTTTTGTGAGCTAAATTCGAAATGCATGAAATGTGTTATCATGCTCGGAGTTTCCTCCCATCATATTTGTTATTATGTGTATGTCTGGATCCATGAAAACAATTTTTAAGAAGATCTCGCCCACTCAAGCCTTTTTTTATCGCCAGAGTAGATGATATAAAAATTTAACTGCTCTCTTTTATACTTTTTCGTGCTCTTCTCTATTTTTTAATCGATAGGAGTCAGTTTTGAGGCCTTTAAGAGAAACAAAAGCTCGTATAGGTCATTTGGTGCAAAAGGAACGGATTTTTCATGACACGGTTTTCATAACCTGACCCCAATCATATAATAATGTTTCTCTAAAAAAAAATCATAAATGCTCGGTCTAGGCCATCAGCATTATTTCAAAGGAAGTTACTCAAAGTCGATTAGAATAGCAAAGGTCTAAAGTGTTGCGATTAGTAAGGTACTGATCACAAGACGTAGTGTGCATTCGTTTTGAAATAGACACCATTCGACTGTTGTACATTGTAATATCCTGTATGACGACGTTCACAGGATCCTGCTCGTCAAAATATGATTTCACTACGATCACTGTACAATTAGGAAACCATGCAGAACACACAGGAGTGATGGGCGAACGCAGGAATAGTCCTTATTCACAAACAAATTCCCAAAGCATCAAAGATGAAAAGAATACAAAGAAGTTTGTGAAAATTTCGCGCAAACGAGGCTTGGTGGTGAAATTTGAGCCTGTGACGTAATCATGCACCTCAAGCTCGCGTAACCATGGTTATGAGGTTACAAGACACAAAACGTGAACTAGACTAAAATGTATAGAAATATAACATATAAACGTTTTCTGGTAATACATTAATAGTAAATCTCGCAACTCTGTCGCAGAATGAATTTCATCGGCTCCGTTCAAGTTGGCGATTTCGTGGCACTTTCAAAATTGACGTATTTGATAATTATAATCTGATTTTACATGCTACTGAATTCATGGTGTTTGTAAAATGTAAGCCAGAAATTTATTTTGAACGAAGCAAAACCCAAAGAAAACCAGGTTTAAAGTAACAAAAAAATATCCGTAAATGTATTTTGGAGGTAAGATAATTGCGTAAAACACGACGCAATTTATTACAAAAAATACATAAATTTAATGCATTTCTTGAAAACAAACAAACAATTTGTATCCTTTCAAACGACGTTCTATCAACAAAATAAAAACAAGGGTTGTTTCCAGCCACAATATGTCAGCGAAATCGCGATTTCCTCACTAGTGAAGCCCCGTCAAATACTTTCCAAATGAATAATTAATGATCAGCTTAAAATTTTCCTGGGAAATATTGGTGTATGGTTTTATTAGTGAAGTTTAACGCGCCCCGCCGAGTTGAATTACCGTCACTTTGTTTTCGACTATATTGCTAAAAAAATTTCAAACACAAAAATTAGTGGTTGCTTAAGGTTGTCCTATTAAAAGTCAACATTATCATGGGAAATTAATGTAACTTATAAGAACTTCCGAAACAGCTTGGCTAGGATGCAAAACATCGATTTTGTGTCCTTGCTAATATCAAAATTAAACCTTATTTTCCCGGCCTTTCTTCTAGTGATATTTTTGAAACTCGAATCTTTCTTTTCACGTTATCTTATACGTATAAAGAATCGAAAGATTTCGGCGACACCTTAAAATTAAAACTGACCGAATTCATTTTTCTGTGTTGCGAACAAAAAATTTGAGCAAAGCGAGTAAAACTGACATGGAGTAGAATATAAACTTCAAAACAGGTGGACTTAGAATGGCCATTTCCAACCGTCACAAAGCTATAGTCAGAGACTGAAAAAGCCCACAAAGGAAGACATTTATTTAAAGAGAGAAAAAGGATTGTCAGGAATAACGTAATAGCAGATACATGGTTCCTTATTCTTAGTTCTGCCAGGCATTTTCTGTCTAGGTTTTGCACATTTAAATTCTGGTTTAATGTTTACTGACAAACAGTCCGAAGGAAATTTCGGCAATTTTTGCGATTTTGCTCGTTTCGGCGCTTTTCAGTTGAAATTTCTCCAAGATGTTCTTTACTTAATTAAGAGAAGGTGTTTAGTGCATCTCAGAATGTGGGAAGCTCAATGAATTTGTAATATTGGCCTATTTACACAGCCAACTTAATAACTGCCAATGGATGTCATATGCACTGCTAAAAGCAACAAACCTCCCATTATGTTTTAAATTTTTGATAACTTTCAAAACCGTTTTTGCATCTTAAACAGTTACCTCGAGAAAATTGCTTCTTCGGCTTTCTTTGTCCTTTCCTCCTTAATGTTATCGCTCTTCCAACTGTCCTTAGGCATTTAGTGTATAAAGACGAGATTTTGCATTATTTTTGTGTAATAAATTCTACCAACGCAAAACGATCAATTCATATTAAACATCAACTCGCGATGGGTACAGCACTCATTAACCATTCACAGAAAATATCGGTGGTTGTTAAGCCGTAAAATGCAATTACCAAACCTCGTCTTCCTGCTCCTTAGCCTCAAAGAAACTGTCTTCACGATGTACCAGAACATCTACACTAGAGTCGAGAGTTCATCTCACTTGGAACGATCAGCCTTTTTGGGCGGAGTTCATCTTAGCTCGATTTCACCGAATCACCCAGGCGACTTTTCAAGGTAATAGAGATAGCATGGCTCTTTCTCTTAGTTAACTCCCTATTTAGAGACTACGAAAAATAATAACTCTTCACTAACCTCCTAACCTGGGACGACCTTCCATGACCTGGAAATACCAGTTTTGATAGTGCAAGTTCTTCCGTTAAAATCCTGCTTTACGCAATCAAGACCGGTCGTAAAAACATCAACCCATTTCGACTTCGGGCAGTAGTCCTGACTCGAACTTTACGCATTTCTATCGTGATGCGTTATGTTAAAACGTGAATCCAGATGACCACCACAGAATGAACCTTCTGTTTCTTAAATTTGTCCATATTTCTGGGATTGAGGTACACGAACACCTTTTAGCGGCGAAACTTTCGCCTTCTGTTTGAGCGGGTGGTTACGAGGGCAAGCAGGCAAAACATTATTAAAAATTTGTGAGTAATGGCTTTTTGTGAGCCTCTGCGAGTATAAAAAATTAACGCGTGCTGTCTAGTTTTTATGGGAGCACAAACACACCTGTATAAATTGCGAATGAAATTCGACTCCAGTTTCTAACCGCTCCTTTTAAAAAGAGCTGAAAGCAAAGGAACACCGGGTCGTATGCTTTGAAATCTCTGCTCAGTTTACGAAACCGCAACGACAGAGTTTTGTCTTTGGTCGAGTTTTGGCGCGTTTTTGTCATCTTTGATCTCTGTTTCGCTACGGGCTGTGTAATTGTGTACCCAAAGTGAAAAGTTTAGAATCATTTGCTCATAATAAATGATTAAAAGGCACCTGTTGTAGTGAAAATTGTGAATAAATTTGGGAGGATACTAAAATTTGAGGCAGTCAAGTCTTCCTTTTACAACGAGGCCCGATTTGACTTTTTCCGGCTTTCATTTAAATGAGTCTCTCCAGAGAATTAATGGCAACTTCGATTTCGTGGCTTCCCATAGACGGTGCATGTTGTTCCTATTTCGTAGCCGCAATATTATTGCTTATTAAATAATAATGATCTACAATTCATCAATTTGCCTTCCCGAAAAATTTTCTCTAAACTAGATGTATTTTAGCCCATCAACACGAACTTTTTTCAGTTTTAAAAATGCTTCACTTTAACCAGTTTTTGTCACAGCAATTGCATCTATTTACATCAGTTCTGCTTAACAGAAAGTGTCAATCCATGCATTTGACATCTACAAGAATATGTTTACGTATTTTTCCTTGTTTTCATTGTTTAGGGAAGCGACAGTAGCAAAATACGTAAGAAAATTCATCGAAATGTAATCACGCGTCCCTCCAAAAAAATAAACTCTAAATGGTGAAAAAAGATTTTTTTTCTCACCTTGTCGACAATGTTAAACATGCTTTCCAGGTACATTAAGCGATTTGCAATTATTTGAAGAGTTTTGTTTTAAACTAAACGCCTTAAGATTACTTTCTCCTAAACAAAAGAGTTTTGATGAAGCTTATTCGGATTTTAGACTTCTTTTCCTGACTTCTGCTTTGGTTTGCCCAAGCCACCGCAAAAGTCGCACTAGAACTAAAGAAATCCTTTATTCTCGATTCTCAATTCTTTATTCTCGCTACGTAGTAAAAGCGTATCTTGTGAGGAACTGTAGAAAATGCAACCGCGGCTGTAAGGCTTCTTTAGAAGATATTTTAGTGAGAGAATAGAACGCTTAAAAATCCCGAGAATTCCATCATCAAATCGAAGAGAAGTTTTTAATACAAATGGGTCGATTTCATTGCGTATTCTTTCAACGTCTTATCCATAATTATTGATTTAAACCAAACAAGGAAAATTTCCAGCTTCCTTAATGCTATTCATCTTTATTTAGATGGATTAGGACAACTAAAGTAACAAAAAAGTATTTTCGACAAAACGTCGCACACACAACAAAAACAACCGAAGTGTTTCCGATAATACTTGGTCCCGCGACAAGAACCCGAAGTGTTTCCGATAAAGCCTCGGGCACTTGAGAAAAATATCCCAACTATTAAACATAAAACTACCAGTGCAAAAACATGCAATAACTCCCGAATTGTGTCCGACAATATCTGAAGAGCTTCCGACGAACTCATGTGCACACATGACATCAATACCCAAGGTGTTTCCGGTTGAACCACGATAAAAATCCGCATCAAGCAAAATTTCTTACGGTTGACAAAATACGAATAGGAGATATTCTTTTCGTTCCCTCGTCATTTACAAAGGTGAGTGAAAACCTTAAAATGTTATTAAAAAGTATATAAAACCTTGCGGAAAGGAAATGATCAACAAATACCCCTAACGCATCTCGAATAACGAATTTCTAGCTTTCTGGCTTTTCTAGCTTTTCCAGTGTTTCGAAGGCTAGATAACGCTGACAACGCTGTACACCGGATAAATCGCTATCTACTGGATATGGCGTTAACTACCTTTCGAACAACCTGGGCCTGATTGCTTCACTGTTACCAGTAATTACACCTGTGTTTGACCGTTTATGGAAAATGAGTGCTGCAAGTGTTGCTCAGTATTAAATTTTTTCGCCGGTAAAAGAAAGCTCTGTCGGAGAAACGCCGCTGAGCGCAGCACATTTGGTGAGTTTTCTATCTCGAACATACAAGAAATAACAGGCAATGTTATTGCGGCGGAAACTACAAAAAGCCACGAAATGTCACAATTAACTCAACTACCTAGAGTTTGATACGGACATTTAATCAAAAGGGCTTGTAAAAATATAAGCCTAAGCTTATAGCAAAAGCGAAGCAAAGTAGAAGAAAAGTAGTATAATGTTCAGCCACTGCTAGGAACATCCAAAAACCGACACGTGACAGCTCCAGATAATTAGGGAAAAGAGATTTTAAGCTGTTTAAGTATACAATTTGGCTTAGCACTCCAGTAAAGTTTGTTACCTTAATAATTGGACCTTGCCTTTGACCAAGAGACGATGCGTAGACAAATTTGGAGGTGTTTGAGCGAAGAATTTTACGGAAGAAAACTCCGTCTTGCTCGAGTTTGGCTCGCTTTCCTGATTACCGTATAATTTTTAAAATTCTCCTACTGGTCTACAAAGCTCTCAATGGAACAGCGCCTTACTACATCAGTGAATTACTTAAGTACAACACCTCTCAACGGAAATTAAGATCGTCCTCTCAACACCTTCTGGCGACCCCGAAAGCTAGACNAGCCAACGGGATCTTCTTGTCAGATCCCAAGAGGCTTATCCAGTCATATTTGCCACTGGCTTTCCCATCAGCATTTTTTCTTCCCACACGTCAAAAGAAACACCACAAGATCTGATCACTTGAATTAGGTTTTTGAGGTGTACCCCCTTTGCTTCCCCCTTTTTTTCTAAGTCATCTTTACGGTTCCACTGTAAACATCAGTGAATTACTTAAGTACAACACCTCTCAACGGAAATTAAGATCGTCCTCTCAACACCTTCTGGCGACCCCGAAAGCTAGACTGAAAACATATGGAGAGAGAGCATTTGCTGTGGCGGCACCGAGACTGTGGAACTCGATCCCACTTGAACTAAGATCCAGCAGTTCGACTGACATTTTTAAACGGCATTTAAAAACATATCTTTTTAAACAAGATTTTTAACTCTTTTAATTTTTAGATGATTCTTTTATTTTATTTCATTAATTTTTTTCCCTCCCCTTTTTTAGCTTTTTAAATATTTTTTTAATTTAATGTAAAGCGCCATGGACAAATAGTGGATTGGCGCTATATAAATATTTTATTATTATATAAATATTT